TAGAATGGGACTCCTCATCAGCGCGCATCCACGATCCTTCACCCCGCGAGATTCGAACACAGGATCTATCAGTCTCGCGCCAGGCGCTTAATCAGCTAAACCACTGAGCGGCATCCAACGGTGTTAATGTCTAACTTCAAACAATCCACGAAGTTGCTCCACCGTACACCGTTGTCTTCAGTGAGTTACTATCTCACAACAGACCTGGTTGAACTCCGCCTAACGAAACGGCCGTCCAGTGCTTTCAGGTTTTTCACGGTGGTCTAGCTTCAATTGACTCATGATTTCAATTTGTAAAATTTCTAAAATCCCCGCAAAAACCATTGTGATATTTTTCTGGTTTTTTTAATAATCCCCGTTTATTCTCGTTTATATTCATTGTGACTAAACAGGCTCCTTCGCCAGCCATATTTCAGCTAGTGCCATTTTGACCAGACAGTGTCGAAGCCTTGTTCTGCTAGGCAGAAGCTAATTTCCACGAGCACAGCCTGACAGGCCCACGTCCACAGCTCCGCGCGGTAACGAAGACACTACCGCGCGATTTCAACAGGGACATCACACCTAGTGTGTTCACTTATGATGTCTTGGAACCTCACAATACTCAATAAGGGTTATTTTCAAGCGTTAAGATTTAACCGACCTATAAATGTTATTTCAACTTTTTTACAATATGGCTCAGCAACAGACATGTTACTACGAATGAGGGAGGTCATTGGTCAACGGATTTTTCAAGAGAGCCTGTCTAAACAACTTTCCTTGTCTTAGCTTCTCCAAGTTTCAGTCAGTGCTTGTCCCATTTCAAAACAACGCTGAAGATGAGGCGACTGTATCTGTCGACCGAATTCTGAAAACCAGCAAAAATAACGCCGAGGTATTTTCAGCCAAAGAAAAACCTCAAACGACACGAAGCGACGTTACGGAACTCTATCATACCTTGATACATTACTATAGTACTCGTCATGACCGTAGATGATAGCAAACTCCTTGAAGGAGTACTTCACGAAAGAGATGTCTCTTAATCACGATAGACAGATAACCCTGATTGATGTCGATATCACAATAAGTATGGAGAATCTCGAAATTGTAGAAAACACTAAATTTTCCCGAGCCCCAAACCGACCAAAATGAGAAACGCTTGCGGTAAGCGATATTTACACCTTGACATAGATTTACTCATACCCATCTACTGAATCTTCGTTGCTGTAGATGTTCCTATGCCAATCATTGATATAAACCTACTAGAACATCATAATCTACTCATCGTCACACTTAAACGGAGCTTAGTAGACGGAAATACTAATTTATCTGTTTGTGTAACTCCTTTTTCCGGTTGTAGATTGTCCACAGTCAATGTAAGGCACACGATCGATCCATACTATAAAAAGTAATCGACAAGTACCTCGTGATATAGCAAACGCGACCAAAATTAACATGTGTGTAGAATCCAAACTACGCTTTGAACTGAAGAATAGACGTTGAGGTAGGTAGGGCATTTGCCTGTCGAAATCACAACAGGTAATCGGGTAACTGACGGTTCTATAATTAATCATAAATCTACATGTACATCGTTACCTAAACAAATATTAACACCCGCCTATTCAACCAATAATTGTTCAATCAATCAAATCTAAATTACAATAAATAAAGAAGTTGATAAAAGATGCAGGAAAAATTGCCACTCACAACAAGTGAACGCTATTCTATCCTGACTGGATAGAACACGCACAAAAGAGGCAAATCAATATGGCTGCCGCCAGGAACAAGTATCGAGTAAAACAACATAGATGCAGTTCGGGAAGAAACACAAAATCTTAGTAAAGGCGTAAGAAAAATAAAAACTATAGTACAAAATACAAATATCAACAATTCAAATGTAATCGAAAGACTAACAATGTACAACTAAGGGAATCAATAGGAACAAAGTGCAAGTGTATACATAGAGGGATTGTCACACAAACACAAAACATTCGAAACGGATCTTACAATGTGTAACCAACAGTGTTGCACGTCACATCACGACTACAGGACAATCCGCGTTCTCGAAAGCGCGTCGACTAGCTCCTGAAAAGCTGAGGTTGAATAAAAACGGATTCGACAATATGATAGATTAAAGATTTACCTTTTGTTACCTGATTTTTCTGTTGCGAGCTGCCGGACTATCGACAATATGGTCGTGTTTGACTAAGCTCATGGTCACGGAGTGGGCCAGTGTGTGACTGTTAATCGCTGACTACTGCTTGGAAGGATTAGTGTAATCATCGCAAATAGATACCTCAACCTATCTTTTTGAGAGCATTCTTTTTGATTCTCAGGTACTGAATTCTTGTGTATTACCCATTCTTCCTTGTTGTCTAGCACGCTAATTTGCGTAAGAGGAACCCAGCATCTGGACCTTGTTTTTGAATGACTTCAGAGACACAGCATAATTGTAAACACTCAGAAATATCAAATCGTTGCCGAATATACTATCGATGCTGAACGCATACGATCTCTAGAAAGCAAAGTGGCGGCCATTCTGAATTACCCTACCACAATCAAGCGACTACAAACGTTCAACAGCCTGGTAAGTTTCTACTGACGGTTCATTCCGGATTGCAGATCCCTTATGATACCTTTAACGGGCCAACTTTGTGGACATAAGAAAATCGTCAATTTGAACGTCATCTCAAAACATCATCCTCCACAGTTAGGAAACGTATCGTCAAAGCAATGCTGTTGGCACACTGGGACTCCGAAGCACCCGTTAGTATCGCAGTAGACGCGTCTGACTCGGCAATCGGAGGAGTCCTACGCCAATGGGTAAACAACAGCTAACAACCTTTAGCATTCTTCTCGAGATAGTTGCTAGACACAGAATCGAGGTGTAACAATTTCGGTAAGGAACCCCTAGCTTTGAGTTGTTCTGTACGGCACTTTCAGCACTCCATGGAATGCCGACAGTTCACTCTTTCCATCGACTACAAACCTCTTGCTTTCCCTGTTAGATCACCTTCATACAAGTATTCACCTCGAGAGTTTCGACAAACCGGACAACATTTCTCAGTTTACTTCAGATATACAACATATTTCTGGGGCAAAAAATGTGGTTTCAGACACCTTGTCTCGTATTACTTCTTTGAACGGTCTCCGAGGACTCGACTTCTTTAAACTCGCTCAGCTTCACAAAGAAGACAATATCTCTAGCACGAATTATCCACAACAACCCTTCAACCGCGCATTCAACATATGGGAACAGGTAAGGAAGATTCACTACGCGCACACCTACAGGTAGGGATCGTCCAATCGTGCCGACACATTATCGACGCAATGCCTTCAATACGTTGCACAAAAGTCCTCATCCAGGTGTTCGTGCAACCATCAAGCTTATAGCAGAACGGTTTTGCTGGCTTGGTATGAATAAAGACGTAAGGGAGTGGGCGCTTTCTTATGTAAGTCGCCAGAAATATAAGGTGATTAGGCACAACAAATGCTTCTTAAGCTCTTCCACAACTCCTGATGTCGTTTCGACCATATTCATCTCCATTCGGCAGGACCCTTACCAGATTGAAATGGATATAACAGCTTAAGTTGATTACTAAGAGTCGACCTCAAGCAACTAAGTATATGTCAAAACAATGGGACTCAATGAAACTCATTCACTTCCTCATTTTTTTATAAACATGATATTTCCTATTATCTTATATTGAATGTGGAAAAGCTTTGCGTGTTTGAACAGCTAAGCCCCGGCTCCACTGTGACTGACACACGATCAAAATAAAGATCTATTTACTACTGGTCTGACTTCTCCCATCAATAGAACGGTTACCTACGGGCACGAAATGGATACTTTTATCTCTTAAATTGTGTAGACCGTTTTATTCGGTGGCCAGAAGCGTTACCCATCAAGGACATTACTATTGAGACAGTGGCTTGCTTCTTCGTCAAACGGTGACTGGCAAACTCCGGTCACCCTTCAACTATCACTACAGACCGTTGATGCGAATTCGAATCTTGACTCTTCCGTTGTCTGATCACACTATAAGGAATCATGCTATTACGAACAATCGCCTACCGCTCACAAGAAAACAACTTAAATCTTCACTCTCAGCTGAAAACGTTTAGCAGTGAATCGAAGCTCTTCCACTCGTTTTACTCAGTATTCGCAATGCAGTAAAAGCTGACATTGGATACAACGCGGTTCAATTCGTTTATGGAATGCCACTTCGACTTCTAGGAGTTCGTGGATCCTTTATCTTCTTCAATGAATATGGACCCAAATTCTTATACAGGCTGGTTGACGAAAGCCATGCATTAAGTTAAACCTGTTTGGTGAGACTATAATTTATGGACGACCTTTGAGCCAAGCAAGACTGACCTTGAGAGCGTCCTCCTAATATCTATGACCGAATGAGGGTTGTAAACCTATGTGAGCGATTAGAATTACGTTTTACAGCTGATGATTAACCTTAAGGATTAGATTTCGGGTTTTCATCACGAACTGACATAACCTGTAATGCCAAAGCTATTTAGCCTATTATCTTATACCTTATTGGTTCGTCCATAAATAATTGTTTCGCCACCTGTTTCCACTTGACCGTGATCAATCGCACCATGTCTAAGCATACCATAGCTGAAAAACAAACTAATGACTTGTGCACATTACTGATTTATTATAATTTGTGACCTGTTCAGTAGCGGTTAACATCATGAAACATATTGAAATTATCGGTTATATGAATATTCGATAATGTGGGTAAAGTAATACACAGTCTTGTGGGGTGTTTATTGTACATAAGTGCTTAAAAATGATATATCAGATAGTTATTATATGAAGTTCAGTGACATGCGTTATAGGGTTTTCTTAGTGCCCATAACAATCAAAGGGCATTTTTGTTATAAAACCTGATTTCTCGTTATACAAACCTTCGTAAGATATAAAGGTTATGTAGGCGAAATATTTTCCGTCTATTGACGATTATTTGAACTCATACAATGATTGCTTAGTAGCGCGCAATCTTCGAGGCGGCTGTTTTGGGATCCTATGTTCGTAAATTCTGACTTTTGCATATATTCCCAGTTATTCGTGGTATATTCATTCATTCTTCATCTTTATAACGTCTAATGGTAATAAGTATTGTTCTAACACTCGTTATTGTATGTTATCCGACTATTGTGATAGATTCTGCTCATTGGCAATCGTTTTCTATAACAAATTATTGGATTATTCACTCGACTAATATGAAACCACAAGTAATAATTACATTGTTTTTATTATCGAGGTTCGTTAAAAACTACATATGTGACAAGCACAACGTATGAACTGAGTAGGCCTACAGCATCCGTCTTATAGCAGACGATTAACTTAGAGTATTTTTATCCCGACCTGAGTGAATTGATTATAAAAAAAATCCCAATCTACACCCACCTTACACACATTGGTTTTTTTCATGAGCTCGTGTGTCTGTCACTAAAAACATTAAATTGATGAGTCATTTATGCTAGAAGTCTCCGCTAATACATTAATACAGATGCAACGCTTTACGAGCTAAGTGCCTCAGTAAAGTTTGGATGTCCGCTTATTGATTTTCGTGCTAGTATATAGCCCTTCATGAAAACGACGAAAGTTATGTGTCTCCGTGTATGCGTACGGTGGATCTTCAGTTTGTCCATACCTTGAACTTACTGAATGGTGCTAATTGGTTACTGTTACTTTATCTTGGCTCTACATTATTTTGCACCAGAAAGGACTAAGATTGACGGCATCAACATATGTATATCGTCGAATTTGTTGTACTAGATTAATTCAATTTGTGTCCATGCATTATATCTTACAAGCTTTATCTTCTAATTCATTTTCATCTTCATTCCCCTTTACAATTAATGTATTTTAACTTTATAAATCGTTAACGCCCTTCTGAAACCTTGTGATTATTATTGGTTTATTGTAATTTAAAATCAGTAATCTAATCTCTTATGGGCGAATTAGACGATTTCGAGACTTAGTTATGTGCAGTGGTTTTATCACGTCTTGACCCCACTTAGTTCTCCCTCTAATTCAGTCCGTAGCTGTGCGTGCTTTGGCTTTTTATACGCCAATTATGCTGGCAAGTCTGACTTTATTTGAAACACTTGAATTTTTATGAAAAGGTTTAGTAACGTTCTTCCAATGGTTATTCTAACACATACTCATAAGGAACCCAAATTCTGCACCGCGGCTACACTATGGTCATTATAATCTAAACCGTAAAAACATTTTAAACCTAAATGATGCTTACAAAATCATAGGTGTAACTGTTTCGTTTTTAAATTTTGAAGCATAGTTGGGAATCTCTAAATTATGTACGGTCTGCTTTTTTCTATTGTTTAGGTGCTGTAATACGGCGTAGTAAAAACGGGATATTCAGAAGTGTTTTACGATCCTAACCTTATCACCATACATTGATCACAACTTATTAACTCGATTAAATAAAAATATTCATTCTTAAATCCAATGCAAGAGTATAAACTTGTTGTTCTGGGAAGTGGGGGTGTCGGAAAAAGTGCATTGACTGTGCAGTTTGTACAAGGAATCTTTGTGGAAAAGTATGATCCAACCATTGAGGATAGCTATAGAAAACAAATCGAGATTGATAACAGGCAGTGTATGTTGGAAATTCTTGACACAGCTGGCACGGTAAGTTTTGTAAAGTTCTACATATGCATTTACTCCATTTAACGGCACACTGCCACAAAACCTCGACAGACGGTATTAAATGCCATCTGAAGGTTGAGAAGCGCAAAATGGTATAGTCATATGATGTCTGATTTTGCATAATAAGCCGGTTCAGAGTTCATGTATGATACAACAGTAGAAAAAGAGCCTTGACTTCTGTTGACATGGCGCTGCTTGGTTCTGTTTCCACCTGAAGCGGTTTATCATTTAGTAATTAGTTGATACCAGGGTAATTTATCAACTGAATTAAGTTACAGGTTCGTAGTTTACATTCTAGACAATTCATGTTAATAGAAATGGCGAACTTGATACTTGTTTCTATAACATTCTAGTCAATCTCGTTTACGGTCGAAGACTTAAAACTAAGGATATTATTCACCCTGAGGTTCACTGGGATAATCTGCAATCTACTATCAGAACAGTAGTAATGCTTGTAAGCAATCCACATTAAAAGGTTCGAAAAGATTAACAAATATCAGAAACCTTTTACTAAACCTGTCGATTCTTGGGTACTCATCTTGAAGGAGTCCGAATATCATAATTAGTGAAAGTCAATCACTGACATAAATTCACGTAATGATCGTAAAAAGTGATGGGCGAGAAAAGCAAAAGAGGTGGGAAAAGTAAATATATGTGACTGATCGCAATCGTTGATCGTCGTAGTTTGTAAGGAAAAGCGAAGTTCTACGACAATCACACATGAAGTACCATTATTACAAATATAGCTCATTCACCAAGTCCAGGCTTATGTGCCTGCTATACGAGATGTGAGGTTCCATAGATATTTCCTGCTTTCCCAAACAGAATTTAATGGATCGGAGTTCGTACCTTGGACCTGTTGGTTGAAAGTCAAGTGCTCTAAGCCCCAATCCACCACACAGTTTGATTATTAACGCATCAAACATATTAGTTTTCATCAGTGTAGGGTTGTGGAGATAGTTATTTTTTGTTGTAATTTGACAATTAAGTAAAGCATTGGAACAGCAAACGTGAAGAACCTAATCAAGTTTTCAGATCTGGTTATAAATGCATAGTACAGGTATTCACTTTTCCTCAGGTTTTGAAACATTACTCTTACCAACACCCGACTAACGGTATTTCATTACTTATATAATTGGCATCCGTAATCAGTAGCTATCAGTCTACTAGAAGTTTTTCACCCGAAGAATTGTTCATTTTCGAGGTCACAATCTAGTCAACCTGCTGGGTTACACTCGTCTCTATCCTTAAAATAGATCTAGGATAGAACATCTTTGGTTTTTTTATTGACAGACAAAAGTAGTTTCTTTACGATGTTTGCTTTGTAAGTGTCACACCAATGAAAGCTGAAGCTTGTGGTTCGTGATTTAGACACCAGTCAGGGATTGGTAGTAGTAATATTAGAACTTAACAATACAACAATCAAATATTATCACTAAGCCGTACTTATTCATTAAATATACAAACTGAGCTGCTGCTATGTTGATTATAGGGATAACTAAATGGAAAATCACACTGAACTTAAACGCTTATCGTTTTGAGTCAGTCTGGCCCCGATGTCAACTACCAGTTGATGAAACCTGTAATTCTCATAAGTACACGAACTGTCCAATAAAGATGTGAAAATACTCTTGCGAATTCAGCCGTAATTATCCATGAGGTTTTGATTCTAAGTTTAAGCATCACATTAGATCACCCTAGTTACCACTACTACTACTATCCAGACCTAGCCCCCTACGATGTTCCCCAAGTTCACAATGATGTGCAAATAATTAGTTGTAACACGATAAGGCAGATGAAAAATTCGGTTTCTGGTGATTTTCAGAAATGTTTCAAACAATAAAAGCTAAGCTGGTAAAACTATGTCTCAACAAATGGAAAGAATATTTTGCAAGGGATATATATGATTGATGTATTTCAAACTTGTCAAGTTTTATGACCTCAGTCTGTGTATAAATGAACGGACTCGGTTGTATTCTTTAAATCTGCATATAGTACCCACGTAGTTCATAACCGGTTATTAATTTTTCAGATAGTTTGACTGTATAAGATGTATTTTTTCGTCCAATAATCAATCGTATGATTTGTTTTTATTACCCTTTTTGAATAATCTGTTTTAACATTGTTTATCAAGGAACAATTCACTGCTATGCGTGATCTGTACATTAAAAATGGTCAAGGCTTTGTTTTATGTTACTCAGTTACATCACAATCCAGTTTTAATGATCTACAAGGTTTGCATGAACAAATTCAACGTGTCAAAGATGTTTCCAATGTCCCACTTATAATTGTAGGAAATAAATGTGATTTAGCAGATGAACGAGTAGTTTGTCGTGAACAGGGTCATGCGCTTAGTCGACAATTAAATTGTTCATTTATGGAAACAAGTGCCAAAGCTAAAATTAATGTGAATGAAGTATGTTTCATTCATTTTTTATATTTAATCATTTTAAAGCATCCAATATGATATACATAAACTGTAGTTGCCAACTTGACAATGGTAGTCGGGTTTGGATGTCATTGTGACTCAACCTAATTATATTGGCTAGAACATCTGTTTCTTTAAATACTATCATTCTAGGCTATCGTTGGCATCCGCTGATGCCCTGGACATATAGAAAGCCAAATTGAGAAGGATAGTTAACTCTTAGAACACCTACAGCCATTAAATATATAAAATACATAATAATTATGAGTAGTATATCTCTGAGTGTTAAATGGTTGGAAAAGATTGGCAAGAATCCATCAACCTAGGTTTCATCCTAGTTGGTAATGGTCATCAGGGTGTATCTTCAATCTTGAGAGTAATAATGCCATAACCAGTGAGATTCAGACCTGCACCACTCAGTTTCACATAACCGAAGGAGTTATCATTGAGCTATTCAGGTCACGACTGATATTTTTCAAAACATGTACTTTAATCACACCAGGTTAATGACTTTTGTTATCAATCAACGTAAACATAGTTTGAGAAGTGCTTATTATAATTAGGTTTGAATAAATCGGAAAGAACGAACGTTGCAGAATAACATGAATTCATTTGTTTCGTTGTTTCTCTTCAGCTGTTTACAAATTATATGTAGTCGTATTAATTATTTAAAAAAATAAAACGATTTACATATTTTGTATCATAATGTTAGAAATTCTCTCGCTAGTGAGGCTTAATAAAAAGTGAAAGAGGATAGACAAATTACATGGGATCAATCTTTAAAATCATTAACTAGTTTAAGGTGTGTCGTTAGGTTCAAACTTCCTATCAGTTGTATTCTTTACCTCTGTTCTAGATCCTGAGTTGAGCGTCATTTCTAGCTGTTCATTCTTCGATTCCATGTGCTACTTCTTAAATATGGACTCAGAAAAGCCGCATTAAGAGGTTCCCTTAGAGTTGAACTAAGCGATGAAAAAGCTAAGGGTAAATTCCAAGAACAATTGAAGTCACATTTAAGTAATTTTCAAAACGAACCTGACCGAGATGTTATCTGGAAAGATATACGAACAACCGCGCAAACAGCAGCGACATCTATTAGTGATTTGAACCAAAGGGTTACGAAAAACCAGTTGATTTCTGCGATATCTCTTGGGCTGATAGACTCTCGTATGACAAACTATCATCTGATTTTGCAACCGCAAGTGGTGTCCGACAAGGCTGTCTATTATCTCCATTTTTCTTCAATTTCATCATAGACCTGCTGCTGGAAATAACGTTCTCGTCGTCGGAATTTTCGGGAATCAATCTCCTACCAAGAGGTCCACTTATTGACTTGGAATACGCAGATAACATAGTCCTGTTTAGTGAAGACGCTGATGAAATTCAGTCTTTTGGTAACACTGAGCAACAATGCCAGAATGTTTGGGATGCACTTCTCCCCCTCTAAATGCAAGTTGTTGCTCCAGGACTGGCCCGCGTCGACAACTTCACTTATCTTGGAGGTCTGATCAGCCTCAATGGGTTGGTGTCTGACGAAAGCGAGATATCCGTCTGTCAATTAAGGGACGAGTATATTGTTCAGCAGTTCGTTCTGTTTTAATTAACGGCTATGAAATGTGGCCATTAAGGGTAGAGGATACTCGTAGGTTACTGGTAGTTGGTCATAGATGTCTTAGAAATATTACTGGGATCACCGGGTAAGTAATAGTGAAGTCAGATGCAGAGTATTAGGGAATGATGGTAAATCAGTTGATAAGGTTGTGAATCTTCATCGACTGAGATGGTTGGGCCACGTGTTATGTGTGCCTGGACACCGATTATCACGACCCGCAATGCTGACTAGTGTTAGAGACGGTTAGAAGAAAGTTAGGGGCGGCCAAACCAAAACGTGGCATCAGTCCTTGAAGTCACTAACTTCTGGTCTGAGTCATGTTGGTAGATGCAGACTACTTGGTTGAGGTCTGCGTGACTATCGTAACCGGTGGTTGGAGACTGTGTGTGACATGACTCAAAATCAATCACACTGATGTTGGTGTATACACTCTTTGTTTTCCCCTAAACCGTGAGATTAAAATTGCTCTATATTCTTTATACGAACTAATTCTTTCTCTTTGTACCATGTCCTAATATGCAATCTTTTTAAAGAATATATTATTGCCATTGAAGTAACTGTTTCTGTGAATTTGATGTTAATCTTATTGTGCTAAGGAAGTGTCGGAACTTGGACCGATGCACATATGTGCTTGGCCCTACGTTGTAGTTGACTGACTGACTTATTAACTATACTTCATACTTTTTACAATTAAATGGAGTGTCTAGCGGTAGGGTGTATAAGGTGCGTCTCGTCCTGATTTGGGACTCGTCAGTTAAATTTTCATGCATCTTACTGTTGATGTTCACTTTTGAGTTCACGCTCTAGGACCTTTGCGTTACGAATTTATTTGTAAAGAGATCCTAGCATTATTATCATACTCGTTGAACATCTTAATAGCCATCTAACTCTGTGGATGATGTATTGATGTTTAAAACGGGAGGCCCTGGGTTCGAGTCCCAAATAGGATGAGACGTCCGTTTGTCATTCTACTGTTAGCCACATTCCATCTATTTCAAATAAATTAGTGACATTATAGCTATATCAACGCGGTCCTCACAGGATGCGCAAGTACTAACAAGGATCGATCAAAATTCAGTCCTGAATATCTACTGCAGGATAATACTTTTGCTACTCTCGGTTTTCCTCGTCTTCACGAATGGGATGCTAAATCAGGAAACAGTAGTCGTAAATGAATGACTTATGACGGTAATACGAAAGAAGGCACAAATAATATATTGCTGCTACATTAGTGACAAGCTTTTCTGAGTTTTATGTGTTCTTTTTTCTTGAATTCAACGTCGTTTGTATAGACTCACTGTAAACATGATATTGGAGCCCATGTGCACCATTGGTTTGGAATGAGGGTTTTCTAACCCCCCTAGGTGGATTCTCCGTGTCCACTAATTCGGTTAAAGCACCGGACATTGGCTTTTCTTCCTCTCAATTTCGTAAACAACACCCCTGTCACGAGAATGCAGTGAGTAGGACTTCCCTGGCAGAGGCTAATATACGTATGGCCGTGTGAGAGCATTTCGAGAGGCAGAGCTGACTTTCCTTACTCTCGGCCGTACCAGAGCATTTGGGAGCACGCGTTCGATAGTCAACATCCTAGTTTTGTATTTACTTGCTATAACCTTGAATTCCTTTTCTCGATCCTGATTGGTTCAGCACGATAATTAATTTTAGTCCTGAGTATTTTTCTCACTTTAATCTGTTTAATAAATTTGTAAAATATCTCATTAAAATCATTGTTTTAACTTTATCCTATATAATAATTATTTTTTTTCATTTTTTCTGTAAACAAAAAATGTAGATTTTCTTTGATCTTGTCCGACAAATCAACAAGCAAATGCCACAAGTGAAACAGAAAACATCGAAACGAAAATGCCTAATTCTCTAACTTTGGGTTTTTTATTACTTGTTTTCTTTCTCGGTTCTCTTGTCTTATTTTTCGTTTTTATAACAGAACAACTACAATAATAATTGGACAAAAAACACTTGATTTCATATGTTGTACGCGTGTATGTGCGTGTGAGCGGGGGACTGGTATTAAAATCAATCTGTTTCCTGTGTTTCTATTTTGTTCCTGTTTTGATTTTTTGTTTCCCACCTAGTGTAAAATGTATACATGTACATCTCAATATTTTTAGGACTTGTTTATTTATGAGGTTGTATTTGAGAAGCTATATGCACAGACTTTTGTCCCTGAAACGCATGTGTTAACTACAAAACAGGAATTATTATGCATTTCATTACCGACACCTATAAAACCACACTCACCTACTCATCATCTATCTATCTACATTTATTTTTGCTATCCTCATATAACTCCCCAGTGCCATTCCTTTTATGTATAAATTGATAGCACAGCAATAATAATGATAACGTGTTTTACCTTTATATGTAAATTTATTTTCATGCTTCCTTTTTTGTATTTGTCCTCCGAAAATGGCTGATTTTATTGTGTTTTTTAAGAATAAAACACTCATCTATTGTTTCATTGTTCTCTGTGCATATATAATGTTAATTATATGCATGTGAAACTGAAGAGGACTGGTCTTTCTTATCGTTTACCACTTTGCTGTTGTTGTTATGGTTACTATCGTCGTGGTCCTTATCTATTTTCGATCTACATAGCTCCAATGTTTGTGTACGTGTGGAAGAGTTCAAGGAGAAGCATATGGAAATATTTGTTTTTCTATCTACTTAATAATAATAATACTCAGCATTATCAGTCAAATTTATGTTTTTTCTTCTCAGTCTGTCGCTAGTGTTATCATTATTATGTTAACGTTTCTTTTGCTTTCTTACACATATGTTATAACTTTCAGTTATTGGATGACTCGTGACACTTTGTATCGACCTCTCTATCAATAATTTTGACACGGAAGGCTGAATATTGTTAGTATTACTAGTCTGTTTATGCTGAGTTTGTCCACATACCTCTCGTATTTTCACTATTATGAGATGTTGGTGCATTGTTATACTTCATCATCATCTACACACAGATACTTGTCTATCGCTATTCTTCGTTATAAGTAATAAATTGTGATTTATCTATTGTTTTATTGTATTCCTGTTCTCACGTAATTTACTTTAAACAAACAATATCTTTATAATTAAACTATACATCTATCTTCATTCTTTGTTTCCCCGTCATCGTGTTGTAATAATTAAGCTGCTTGTGTTTATTGACTTTCTGCATCATTCCAGCCTGTTTATTAAAGTAAAAAAGCTTTTATCGTTCTTCATCCTTTCTAGTAACCTGTTTTTTTTAGAAAAGAAATTGCGACTAATTACATTATTTAGCGAATTTTTTATTGCTAATATCCTTTAGTATTACTAATACTATCATTATGGATAGTATTAGTATCGTTGGTGTTCCTATCAATGTATTCTTTTCCTAGTTGTATAAGGCTTTCGTTTATCTCTGATATTTGTCTTTTATAAGGAGTAAACTTTTTCCTATAGTCAATTAATGTTCACCTATTCTCTCGAGGAGTAAAACAATAATGCGCTTGATATTACTGTTATTGTGATTATTATTGGTAGTAGTATGATAGTGATTATTAATATGCTTATTACTATTATTTATGATTATTATTATCATTTAGACCTTCTCTTTGCTTTTCTTCCCTTCCGTTGATTGACGCTGTGTTTTGAATATGAGAGGGGAAAAATATAAACATAATTTGCATTTTGAATTTTACTTATTTGTTGAAAAATATGAGATTTCAGAGTACAAGATATGATGTATTGTCAGATGCATTAGTGCATTGGGTTATTTTACGATCTATTAGGTGTTACCGCATTTACTGAAGAGAAGTTTTATAATCTGTCTGTTATCAGTCATACTCAACTTAAAGCCTGGTACGTATGTACATCGGTTCAAATTAGCATACCCCATTAGCACAGTGAAATGAAATTTTTTACGGCAAATCCTAGGGTAGTAGCGATACTAACACTATTAATGGTAACAGGACAAATTGAGCATCGGGGATATGATTCGAAAAGAAAGTATCGAATAGTGAATTAACAAAATCTTATAAGGTAATTTCAAAGCTTAAAACCTATGGGGACACAAAGAGTGAGTACACTTGCACCACTGCAAACGATTGTGTCTGTCGTTGTACCTCATGCCATGTGACTGATTGTTAAGGGTGACACAGATGTGTCTTCATAAGGCAATCTGTACAGATAAATAATAGGATATATGGGAGTAATATCGCAGACTTCTGGTGTTACATATCGTGATGCTCCAATCCACCTATAGTGTATGCGACTTTTCTCTCACTATGTACAACAATTCTTGTGTATATATGTTGCTGATCAATATAAATCGGTCAGCCCTAAACTTTAGAAAAATGTCACGGTTGCTATGGCGTCATCAGTCATGGTAGACATCCCACTACTAGGTTCTACCCAAACACCCTAGTAGTAACATCTCAAACTCGACAACTTGGGTTATGATCTCACGGGGAGCACCAAACTTCAAGAATTCAGATCCACCTTATTGGTGAACACCAGTTAGGACGAAACTTAGGTGATTGTCTCCAACCACCAAGTTTCCACATATATACTCATACCGTAAAGCGAAATTGGTGGGATGAAAACTCGACTTTCAAGAATAAGCTTTTATGTGATCTTAAATTTATTTCTTGACTTTATGCTTCATTTGGTTTGTCCATTCACTTTGTTTAATTGTTTATCTAATTCAATAAGTCATTCCAGTTAAAAGTCTTATCTTACTTGAAATATTACTGGATTAGGGGTTCCTAAAAGCTGCCAATCGAATAGTGTTTCTACTCTGAGAAGTTTTTTATGTTTCAGTCCTCTACTCACATCAAACAAGCAGATTTAGTTAGGACTTCAAAAAGTCATTACCAACGTGTTACTATGTCTCAAAAAAAAGAAATACTCTACATCCTCAATGTAATACCATAGAGATTTTTATAAGTGGAATAAATCAGTGGAGAAGTTTTTGAACAATTATCAACTTAGCTAGAGAGGACATTATATATATGTATCACAAAGTCATCATTTCATACTATGTGAATTAGTATTTTCAGAGAAAAAGAGTAGGTAATTATCGATGGACTGTCATAGATGCCCAAATCCAGTGCTTGCAGTATTCAGTTAATTAACTCTATAGGGTATATCTTTTATTTGGCTAGTGATGGGATTTAGAGCTTGCGATTCATTCCATTTGGGGTTCGTCAACTGAGTGTACAACTAAAAAACTCAAACCGTTATATATATATATATATATATATATATATATATATATATATATAATAAACAGCCATCCTGGATTCAAGACAAACAATAACTGAATTATAAGAGCTCTTGTTGATATGCTCATGAGAATAATTTCCACTGTATTTGTTTATTAAGATAGATAACCTTTAGCTCAAGTAGTTGAGCTGTATCAAGTGATTTTTCTTGTAAATGTTGCTGTAAACAACGAATTTTCATTCGGCATTAAGTGATAGAAAATATTGAAAGAAAAAACCATAGTACTGATAACTGTTGCTACTCATTAACATGTGGATACTAATGAATATGAAATACTAATTCCTAAAATAGTCTAAATTGTATCATAACAAGTCAACAAAATATTATAAGTGAATCATTCTTGTTTTCCCTGAAAAATTAGAATCAAAATGGATTTCGAGTAAAATTCATTAAGAAATACAGTTTTGAAATGATTTGTAACTAAAATGGACGCATTTTTTTGATGATTTGTTCTCTCAATTTTCATTGGCAGTACAGATATAATCCTTAACATTTGCTAGAAAATGAGCATGAAAAAAAATGTTACAATTAAGGTATTTAGTAGTTCAGCTTAAATAAATCTTGTTTCCGTTGTAAATGCAAAATGCGTTGAAAAAATATTGTAATGTTGCACGTTTGCTTCAGATCAATGAAATTAAACTGTCAAGATAACACAGTTTATAGAAAAGGTTAATTAAGGACTGATCCTTCCGTTCGAAACACTGACTTATCCTATTGTTTTTGGATATTATCTCCCAACATGATGTTGTAGTTGGGGTTTTCTAACTCAAACTCTTGTTATGAGTAAGTTTCTTATGATTCTTCATAATGGTAGGACGTTTTGGAGATTGTTAAATTAATGGATATAGTGCTCCAACCGATTTGTTCGTACTAACTGATGCTATAGGGCCGAGTAATGACTACTCAGAATATTGACTGACAGGTAGTAAAAGAGGTTTTCTTTCGACGAAATAACATGCTTATATATTAAATATTAAACACAAGAATAAACCTGATTAGTGGTCGTTCAACAAATAAACGATAGCAGGATACGACAACCAGTATTAATCCCAAACTGTCAATCAGGCTATCCCGTCATATCATAATGAAACATAACTTTATGACGGAAATACTCGTCCCATAAAACCATACCGTGTCAAGGAGGTCTGTTGAATAGGTTTCTAATCTGAATTGAAAAGTTTCAGGTTTGCAATTAATGTACTGTAATCCTTACCGACTTGGGATGTAAGTAAAATGTCCACATACCTAGTGAATTATTAGAAATGATAAAATATGTTAAAAATATATGTTTCTAGAAACTATGATTTGGTTATGGTATCGATTATGTAAGCCTTCAAATAGAATATACATATTCCTTATATTCATACTAAAATTCTCTAATGTTAATTAAAACTGCAGGTTAAAATCTGGGTCAAATCCTATCACTTTAAAATTTTCGATTGATTCAATAGTTCACAATATACCTTGGTGATTGGTTGTTTATTAGTAGCCCAAGTTTATTGGTAGTCGGTATAGGGGGATGCCAGCTCAGTGTTCCAATAGGTTAAGTGTTCGCGCACGAGCGGGATCGTGGACACGCACCGCTGAGGAGTCCCAAAATAGGCCGGAACGGCCATCCAGTGCTTCCAGATTCTCAACGGTGGTCTAACATCAATCGGTTCATTGTCTCAATCAAAAATTTATTGGTTGTGTTT